CTACTCAATGCACTTCTGCTGATGCCTATTGTTCTCGTTTGCAGGATTCTGATCAAAGTTCTTACAGTATACTCTTACAGAATGCAGAGACGGTTGGTTTTGTTTCTCCTCATGGAGGTGCATATTCAGATTCTCTTGCTCTTAATTTTCTTACTCATTTTTTGTTTTTGTTTTTGGAGATGGATTTATCCATGCGTCACTTTACTGCAGGACATGGTTGTGAAAGAACTCCAATTCCCGTGACTTCTCTGAAAGTTGGTGATGAAGTTTTGCTCCGGGTGCAGGGTGGAGCTCGGCACACTGGGATAGAGATTCAGGAATTTATTGTAGAAAGGTAAAGATGCTGCTGATGACCTCTTTGGGCAGTTTTCGATCTATTGTCTGGAATTTAGTACCCCTATTATGTTGTTATCTTCTAGCAATCATGAGGTATATGTTATTTGATTTGTTATTTTGGTAAAGAGCTTGTGCACCCTGCGGCCTTCACCCAGCTTGGTGTGTGTATTCATTGTCACGTGCGTAACAGTGGTGATAGGGCATGTTTAACATCATGTATCACGTGCCGATGCATGAGTGAGACCAGCTAGTCTAATTTGGAACTTTTATTGTCTATATATATATGCATGGGTAAAGAAATCAATAAATTGTGTGACAAAAGTTGTAAAAGATGTATTTTTTTTTCTTTATAACATTGTAGATTTGTAGGTAATATAATTTTTTCATAATGTGGTGGTGTAAGTTTTGATGTTATACCATGGTTGTTCGAGACAAATTTTAGATTAGGTTTTAATTCATTTATTTTGAGGAGTTTGATAATAATCTAATAACAATGAGGGTGAATAACCGAATAATACAAGTATGTTAAATTAAAAAGGGGAAAAAATATAGATTTAAATAAAAAAAACCGAGTTATTTGGGATAAAAAAATGAGTGCAATAATTTAAAATATATCAAATGTATCAATAATATTATTGTGGACCTAAGGTATATACATACGTAATTAACATTAACATAGTGATCCCTAATTTTAATATTTAACATAGTGACCTTTTTTAAAACTTGTGTAACCTACTAACCTTTAATGTTATTATGAACTTAAAGTACGACATTATGTTGAATAGTAACCTAATTTTAACATAATATTTATTATTTATATAAAATGTTATATTAAAATTTTCATTTCAAAAATTAATCTCTTATAAATTTATAATGTCACGCTAACTTTTATTTCAACATAATAACCTTTGATTCAACCAGGTCCATTTTTCCCTTAAAAAAAAAAAAAAAAAAAAAAAGGTCCATTTAAAAATTTTTAGGAATTTGGATATACTTGTACTTCCTAAATCTCAAGCAGTCAAGCCTATTACATATGATAGAAGATTTTAGTACACAACAATGATCTACAAAGTTAATTGTATGATTGCTAGAGTTTAAAAGTGTATTTCTTATAATGAAAAATAAATATTTGGTTAGAAGTTATTGGCTATAACATAACTTTCATAATTTTCTAGTCTTTAATTAGTAAAATTATATGTATACAGATTATTACTCCATCCGTTTCAGAATGATATTCCTGTTTCGTAAATCGATGCAAAATTTTACACATCTTTGACCACAAATAACTTTCATTTCACACTAGCAAAAATTATAAAAGTTAGATACTACCTCGGTTTTTTTTTTTTTTTTTTTTTTTTATATTTTTTTTGCAACTTTGGAATATTTTATATCTCTGAAGTAATATCCCAAAGTTGCAATAAAAAATAATCGGAGGTAGTATTAATAATCTACTCACTAAGACGAATCAAATAACATCTCACATGACTATATTTGTTTGTATAGATTAAGAGAAATTTAGAAGATTTTCTCTTTTCTAAAAAATTCAAAAATTCCAAACAAGAACATCATTGTAGAACGAATGGAGGACTTATAACTGATTTTATTTCTAATTTTAAAAAGGATACTAACGTTTTTGTTTTTTTGTTTTTTTTTTTTTTTTTTTGAAGACGGATACTACGTATTATTATGTTAACCATTACTTTTACTTGGTTGTATCTGTCTATGCATGTCATCTTATTATAGTTTTAATATCGAGAACCTACGCAGGATTTAAACTCAGCATTTGTGCAATTCAAGAACTTCAAATCAAAGGGGGCATTCACTAAGGTTTCCTCCCACTTCAATTTAGTTAGCTAATTCTTTTTCTGGCTGCTTCAATAAGCCAATAATTGTTGGCACCATCTCAACATTTACTGTGTGTTTCATTTGTAAATAAGTATTGTACTTTGGGGCATCCAAAAAATGAAATTTGACAATTAAAGTAAGACAATAGGAACAAAATAGATTACTTTCTAATAATTACGTGGTAAATAATATTGTAAAAACGGGGTTTAAATAAACTAATAATCTCGCTGTATCATAACCTTCAATAATCTCTTGCACAAAGGATATTGGATATACTTGTATTTCGTCTTGACAATTTTGACCAAGATGATTGATATGTTCATTGGTTAGACATTTGATTTAGTTGATTTAGGCCTTGTTCTCTTCACCTTTAAAAAAAAAAATATTAAGTAAAAATAATTTCAGTTCAGCAAAATTAATTTCACTTCAGTAAAAATAATTTCAGTTCAATAAAAATAAGTTCGTAAAATTCACTTTTCTTAAAGAAGAATTATAATAGAGAATCAATAAATTCTATAAAAATAATTTAAATTCAGTAAAAATAATTTCAGTTCAATAAAATTAAGTTCAGTTCAGTAAAAATTAGTTCAGTTCAGTAAAAATAATTTCAGTTCAGCAAAATTAAGGTGAATCAAACATGACCTTATATCTTTCCAAGATTATGAACTACTTAATCAAGAATTTTTTATGCTTATCCAAGGAGTCATTGTTAGTTGTCAATCTTGTTATTGACAAACACAATCGAGACACATTGATAGCTAATTCTAACATATCAAATTCAATGATTATATTTTCTCACATAAGATATCTTTTTTTGATATCCTGGATATTTATATATTTATTTACGTTTACCATGTCTCTTTTATTCTTTCTTCTTTTAATTGATAATTTCCTCATTGATTATATTCTAGTCTCTTATTAGCACGATCATCTTAATTAGTTGTATTTCTAGATTCATATAAGCAATGAATAGGGTCAAAACAAGATAGACCATGCTTTTCATTAAATACTTGGTACAACTTTTGAAAATTCCTAATCTTATCCAAAATGAACTAATGAACTTTACTAGTCTAGAATCTAACTTATCGTATTTAATTTGATCTAATTTTATGCTTATCTAAAATATGAACTTACTTTTTAGATATGAATTAAACTTTGGAGTAATAATTTAGTTGCTATAATAAAAACTTTAGTGGTCACTAAATATAATTATACTTATTAACATGATAAATCTTCTTTGAGCTTTAAGTACATACATTTTCTTGCCCTACATTGTTCAAAATTCGTTTGCTACAAACAAAATCTTTCATTATGTGATCTTATTGGCCATAAACTTAATTTTTGTGCACACGAATATCATTATCATTATCATTATTATTAATTATATTATTTCTAAGAAAAAATGGTTTTAATAATCAACCGATTTATTTTTAATTATTATATTATCTATTATTCTTTAATAATCCAACGTAGTATTAGGCCATAATATTAGGGGATGGGGCCATATGCAAGATCGTTGATGATGAAAAGTCATACAAGTCTTGTGAACTTGGATACAAAGTAGTCATACAGTCAACTTAAGTGGCGTAGTATTAGGATAAGACTGCATTGTTACCAATATTAGTTACAACACCTAACTGACTTTGTTAAAGATTAGCTTCATAAGTTGGAAATAAATGTATGAAATGGTGTATAGTATATTAGGTACTGTTCATATTTTCTTAATTTCAGTTCATTTTAGCTCTAATCAGTTTAGTTCCAATCAGCTCAGTTTCTAATTTCCTTCTCTCATAAAATATTCATTTCATTTCAGTTCAGTTCAGTTCAGCTCCAATCATTTCAGTTTATTTCAGCTTCAATCATTTTAGTTCAGCTCAGCTCAGTTCAGTAAATGTGAACAAGTCCTTAGTATGATGTATGACATGTTATGTGCCTTGTCTTCAACTAATCGTGTTCAAGGTTCAATTTCAAAGCTTTTAACTTATAATTCTTGATCTTGAATTAATTCATTTGTCAAATGGTGCTGAGAATTAAATTTGGAGCTTTTAGTAAAGTCGTGAATAATATTATAATTTTAGGTAGATATAAACGAGATTATTGATTAAAATGAAATTTTTTGTATACCGTGCTTAAGGGTCTATTCAGTTCAGCTTAATTTCAGTTTAGTTTAGATCTAATCAGTTATGTTCTGTTCTGCTCTGTTCAGTAAATGTGAACATGCCCTAGTTCTTATGCCTAAAAATCAAAGTTTGTTTTTTAAAAATTTCTAGTCAATTGATTTGTATTTTATAATCTATACAATTGTTTCAAGGTGTGATTCATTTTTTTATTTTTGAAACTTAAGAATATTTTTAGTGGTGATATGAATCATCATGTATATCAGTATATTAGTTATATATATTATCACCAATGATTTGAAATAGGTCAATAATTGGTATAGTTCAAAATATTTTAATTTACACAACTTCAAATAACGTAAATAGCTTGGACTATATTTGGAATTTGTTATATATATTCGGGTGCACCGTATACCCAACTAATCCAAGATTAATTTTTATTTTTCATTTGATAATTAATTGAAAAACAATCATCAAAATGAGAACAATATACTCTTAGGACCTGTTCTCATAGACTGAACTGAAATGAATATTTTATACGAGAAGGAAATTAAGAGCTGAACTGAACTAAACTAAACTGAAAATAAACGTACGAGAACATACCATTACCCAGCTATATATAACAATCTCTCAACTATATTAGTCAACCAGCCCAACCAACCATCTCGACAGATCTACTCATATCTCATAATCATCCATCACATTAATCCAATTCTAATGCCGGCAAAAAAGATAATTTCTTTCTATACAACTCAAAGTTTAAAACAAGGATCAGCTTGTCATCATAACAATTTTTTTATCCTTGATAATCCTATCTTACCTTTACTTTTAATAGATTTTATCTTTCAAAAGATAGAGCCAGATTAAATTACGGAGTATAAATCCAACAAAAAAAAAGTATTCCTAAGTGGGACCTATATATTCTTTTAAACCTCCCAATTCTATATCTCAAATAAACCTTTAACACCATAAAAGCAAAAATATAAAATTCTTTAAGGTCAATTCTTCAAACTTGAAGCCTCAAAATGGCTAAAAACTCTAATTTCATTATTTTGTGTTTAACTCTGTTTTCTTTGAGTTTAATTAGTTCAATTACAGCAACAAATCCTGAAGTTTCTCATATTTTAAACCACCAACATCGAAAAAATCACTCAAAAAGTAAGCCTGAAATTGGGGTTTATGAGTTGAAGAAGGGAAATATCTCTATTAAGGTCACTAATTATGGTGCTACTATTATGTCCGTCATTCTTCCTGACAAAAATGGTAAATTTTTTTCTTTTTTTTCAGTTTCATTTGTTTTTGATTTCATGATTTTTGATTGATTTATTTATTTATTTTATTGGGGTTTTAAAGAAGTGTTACTCCGTATTTCTTTCTGTTTGGGTTTTGCATTGTTTTGGGTTTTATTAGATTTCTCGTGAGTCGTAAAGGACAATGATGTATACAAAATTTAATGATCCCGATTTTTCATGAATTTGGGTTTTCTAAATACATTTTATCTTGCAAGAGAGTTTCATGTGTTTTACATTTGTTCTTTATGTGGTATAATTTCTATTTTTGGTTGCGAAATTTATGCAGTCTTGCCGTATTGGTAAGAAAAGAAGAAATTTGGTTTCTGTATTTGTTTTCTTGGTTTACTAGTTGCATTGGTATCCTGGTTCTCCACCTTAACAAATACAGAAAATAATCAATGAAAAAAAAAATGAAAATTGGATTAAATGATTAAGTGGTGGCATTTGAAAATATGAATACTACTCTCTGTTTTTAAAGACTTTATTAGAGTCGATAGTATATACAATGTGTTATTTTAAAAGTTCTATCATTTAGAGAATATATTTAATTGTCTTTATTGACACATTTCGACAAAATACTAAATTACTCCCTAATAGAATTGCAAAATTTCTTTCCTGATAATTGAAGAAATTAAAATTTTATTAAAATAGAATTAACTAAAGATTTTTAGAAACAAATTATGTTTAGTTGGTCATATAATAATTTTGATGTAAACCCTCCAATAAAGCATTAAAAAGAAATGGAAATCATGCGTTGATATTTTTATTTTTATTTTTTAAAAAATTTTGGTGACATTAAATAATGTGTTTTAGTTCTATTGATGTTTGATGACTATTATAATTCATATTTTTCTTTTTGAAAGATTTTTTTTTTTTAAATACTTTTCAATAATGATACTCTGTATTGATGTCTAATTATTATAAACATCTATAAATACAGGGAAGCTGGCTGATGTGGTTCTCGGTTATGACTCGCCAAAGGACTATGTGGTACGTATATTATTCACCCAAATCAAAATTTCTCAAAATAAATCAAGTTTGTTTATTTTACCAACTCATAGGCTTTTTACAATGACCATAATGTTTTGGCCATTGGGCAAATGTTTAAATTTATTAGTCTTTATCATATCCGATTTTTACATATGGAGTATTAATTTAAAATAAGTTGAAGTGTAAGGAGTAATTGGTATAGAGGTAAAGTTTGTATTTAAATGTATATCAAACTCTTATGAAAGACTCTTAAAAATGGGAATTCCTTCCGTGTATCCACTTTCAAAGAGTCTAGCCTCTTAAGTTTGACTAAGGGTATGTTCTCATTGACTGAATTCAGCTGAACTGAACTTAACTTAACTTATTAGAGCTGAACTGAACTTAACTTAACTTATTAGAGCTGAACTGAACTAAACTAAATATTTTATAAGAGAAGAAAATTAGGAGCTGAATTGAACTGAACTTATTAGAACTAAAATGAAAATAAACGTATGAAAACAGACTCTAAGTTGAACTATGTCGCATGTGCGGATATTAGTTAATAGCACTATATCTTTAATAGTGCATCAAATAATAAGAGATATCGACGTATTGTCTTTAATTAAAACCATGGACCCCGTAGGAAAAGAGATCTTGAGAGCAATGATATGGGCGTGAGAACCTGACATGATTTCTTTGCATCTTTGCACGTTGGTTTACTTGGCTAAAAGCCTAAAATATGTTGTAATTTGCAACTTTGCACGTAATTTGCTTGGCATTTATTAGATGATTTTTCCAAATATTGTTCTCAACTCTTGTGCATAATGCATTACCACATTTTATTGCCCACCAAATTAAAAATTAAAGAAAATAAAGGCAAATTATGAACATTTATTTATTTTTTTCTCGTGATATGTGAATTAACTTTTGTACCTATTAAATATTGTATTTTATAGTAACTGTACTAATTTAGTTTTTCATTCTTTTTTTCTTCAATGTTTGGTACTCCTTATCCTAGTGAATTTTATAAGGGTCAATCTGTTGTCTTGAGAACTTGATTGTAGGCATACTCATTAAACAATTTATGTGATTGCGAATATTGTGTTTCCCCATCAAGTGTACAATAATGAAACCATATAGGCAAATATTGATTTTTTTTTGTGAATTGCTAAATACCGCCAACATTTTTTATCAAACCGCCAACAAAAGTGATGAAGGGACAAAACTACCCTTACTCATCCCCACTTTGCTTTCTCTCTCTTAAGTGCATCAATCCTCAAACTCAACCGTCAAACTCGCTCCACAAAAGCAACCATCATTGCCACCACCACTCACGCCTCCACAACCACCACCACTCACGCCTCCACAACCACCACCATGCCACCATGACCACAACCACCACCATCACTGCCCGCAACCTCCAAGGGGTACCAGTTTTTTTGTTTAATTTTTTTTTTTGTTGCTAAAATTCCCAAAGAACCAGGAGCAACAACCATTGAAGAAACAACCCACCACCTACCCTCGTCGGTAGGAAGGTGGTGGTTTCCTTTTAAATTCAGCAACCAGCACAACCGATACGCAAAACCGGTCATCCGGGACGGTAACCGGTTTCCAGAGTCGGTTGACCATGGTAACCGGCGTGCAAAACCGGTCACCCATGACGGTAACCGGTTTCGAACGCCGGTTACCATGGTCAACGAACTCTGGAATTCGGTTACTCTCCCGGGTGACCGGTTGTGTTGGTCGCCGGGGATTGTTAAAAAAAATTGAGTGAGATGACAAACTGGTATTTCCGACCACCATGATGCCATTTAATCACCTCCAATCCTTGCTGCCGCTGTCCTTCTATCTCTGACGAACAACCGCTGCTTCCCTTCACCTCCGACGTACAGCCGCTGTTGTGGTTGGGAAGTGGTGGTTGACTTGCGCCCCTAATAGGTGACGAGAGAGAAACAATAAAAGAGGAAGATGGAGGTGGGAATATAGTAAGGGCATTGGTGTCCATTCACCTTAAATGTTGGCGGTTTTGATAAATATTGTTGTCGGTATCCTCTTCAAAATTCAAGTTCTTAGTCACTTGAACGTTGTGCCGACATAATTTAATATAGGAGTTGCGTTTAGTATTTGCTCTATTTTTAATTATATTTTGATTTCGGAATCACTAAAATGATGATTGAATTTTCTAACATGCTCTCCATCTCACCAATGGGTGAGATAAGACGAATATGCTTAACCTAACCTATTTTGAGGATAGGCTCCATCACTTCCGTGATGTTTAGATTATGACCCCACCATCAAACCACTAACCCAACCCAATTACTCTGATTATTTATAGTCAATTGACAAAGAAGAGCCCCATATGGATTAGCCCAGTTACTCTATTAACCAGTTTTCAAGGCCACATAAACTAAGGGTTTGTTCTTTTCGGCTTAATTTTATTTCAGTTCAGCTCCAATCAGTTCCTGTTCAGCTCAGTTCCAATCAGTTTAGTTCAGTAAATCAGAACATACCCTAAGAGCCACGAAAAAAAAAAACAAAAAAATAAAGAAAACCTTTGCCACCATCTTTGTCTTATGAGTTGTGAGGTTGTGCACCTAAAAAACCGTAATATTGCGTATATGTTTAAGATATGAGATATAATATAAAAATTATTGTTAGAGATACCAGAAGTATATAAATATTAGTACAACACATTAACTGGAAAGTACAAAGATTTTGTTGGTCAACCAAGAGTCCGAGACAAACTGCATATTTTATGGTTGATACTCTTGGAGCTCAGCATGTGTACAGCACATTAATCACATGCATTGGACTTTGGATCAACATGAAGTTAAATGTTATTGATACTATAATATTATTAATCTTCACTTCTTTGGAAAAATCTAATAAATACATTAAACATCTAGAGCGTTAGGTTATCCAGAAACAACACAAGAAAGCATCCTTTGTATGTCCGCATTGTTGTCACATTATTTAAGAATCGGGATTTACATAGGTGAACAATCTTGTAAAATTAAAACCTAACTATTTATGAAGTATATGATCGAAACTGTACTCGTTTTATGTATACTAAAGACTGATCAGTATTTATGTAGATTATGAGTAAATAAATACCTGGTTATTACGGAGTAGTTCTCAATGAACTAAAAAAAATGTAACAATGATTAATTTGTTCAATATATCAGATAAACCCGTACTCAAAACATAAGAATTCTACATTTTAGACTAGTAAAACTTGATATGAATGTCGTTACATTACACTGTAGCCACTGAACAAAAATGAATGAACATGCTGATATGTTATAAGGAATTTCGATCTGACATGGTTAAATCTTGGATCAACCATTGTATTGTCGTGACAAAAGTTTTGAGTTGTTAGGGGGTGTAAAATAAGGGTGTTCAACTTCAAGAAAAAATTTTAGTTTGATTGTAGGAATTGTCTTGTTGAAGCCGTTTATAATTTCCAGAGAAAGCTGTATGTATCTTTTGTCTGATATAATTTCTACTTAATTCAGAATGACACAACATACTTTGGTGCTCTTGTTGGGCGAGTTGCTAACAGAATCGGTGGTGCAAAATACACTTACGAAGGGGTGACTTATAAACTTGTTCCAAATGAGGGAAAAAACATTCTTCATGGTATATATTATTCCACTGTTAAGTTCTGCCAAAACAAAAACTTATGCTGTATTTTTCAGCTTCATTTACATTTTTTCATTGTTACAGGTGGCCCAAAAGGATTCAGTACGGTTACCTGGGAGGTAGATCAGTACTACCCGAAAGCTCCTTCTCCATATATTAGGTTCAGTTACTTCAGTAAAGATGGAGAAGAAGGTTAGTTGTGACTCTCACGAGCATTTCCATGATTTCTAATGTAGCTTATGATATGTAGGCAGTAGTTTTTTGAATGCGATTATTATAAAACTAAAAACAATCAGTACATGCTGCTTAAGATTAATTATGGAAGGAAAACAGAACTTCATTGACTCACTATGCTTAAGACAATGAACTTTATTGATTAGGAGCAGCTGGTTTTTAGTTTTATTTTTTTATTTTTTTTTTAAATTTTTTTTTACATATGTAACATAAATGGTGCCACAAAAATTTGCAGGTTTCCCAGGTAATCTTAAGGTAAAAGTGGCATACAAGATAGTTGATGAAAACCATCTGTCTTTCACGATGACAGCAAAAGCTTTGGACAAGGCAACTCCAGTTAATCTAGCCCAACATACATATTGGAACCTTGGAGGCCACAACAGCGGCAACATTCTAGCAAATGATGTTCAAATCTTTGGTTCCCAAATCACTCCTGTTAACGATCAACTCATCCCAACTGGCAAGCTCGAGAAAGTTCAGGGAACACCATACGATTTCCTCAAATCCCATGCTGTAGGAAGCAAGATTAACGAGCTTCCAAAAGGATATGACATAAATTACGCGCTTGACATTTCTAATAAAACAGGTCCTATGAATCGAGTTGCTATCGTTAAAGACAAGAAGTCAGGGAGGGTGATGGAGTTGTGGGCAAACAAGCCTGGAGTACAGTTCTATACCGGTAACTTGTTGAAGCACGAGAAAGGTAAAGGAGGAGCCGTATATGGACCTCATGCTGGTTTGGCTTTGGAGACTCAGGCTTTCCCTGATGCAGTCAATCACCCGAATTTCCCATCAGTGATGGTTTCCCCTTGTGAACATTACAAGCATCACATGTTGTACAAGTTTTCAACCACCAGTTAATAATCAGTTTATGGAGAGATGGATCGAGAATTTGTGTCTTACGGCATTTAACTGTTTTTTAAAATTGTGAATTCCTAAGCTTGGTTGCTTAATGTTCATTTTGATAGGCCATTCTATTCTCCCTGTTCTTTCTTGTGTGTATACCAAGGGTAAACAGTTTCAATAAAATTGTTTTCTAATAAATTTCTTCCCCCTTTAATTTTGTTGAGGCTGATGATGATTTGATTTCATGTGTATCTTGCAAAACTAATCCGATGTAAGCAGTGAAGTTCAAGGATGATGTTGAGGAAACACTATCTTGTCTCAAACACAAGATATGAAACTAATATTACATTGAATGAGACTACTCACACAAAAAGTGATATGAAACTAATAAAAAATCAACACTATTATTGTACATTTTATTTCAAGTAACAGGTTCAGGCATCGTCCGGTTTGCACACTAGTTATCATTTCAAAAACCGCAATTATAATAACTATGATAATTCTTTTTTTTTTTTTTGTAACTAGTATATTTGCTTGGGCACATATTAATTTAAACCTATACAAGAATATCCTATACCTTTAAAAATCGCATGTTGATCGTCATTAACATTATACATGGTATGTTTCTTGGGCTCCAATTGCTGACATTTGTTCCGTTTTTTTTTAAGGGAAGCTGACATTTGTACCGATCTCATGAGAAATGATTGCATATATAGGAGTATTCTCTACTTGAAAGTCCACATTAATATATCTAAGGATATAGGATAGATAGTACTTGTAGTTGACTTAAACTTCTTTGTGTTGTCCAAAAATGATTAAAATTAAAATAAAAGTGATTTATTAATTTTTTACAGCAAAAGTAATCTATACTTATCGGAGGGTGATACACATTCAATGTATGTAGAGCCCACATACATTCCCAATTAGGTGATGCCACATAAGCTTGAGCCAAAAAAAAAAGGGAATATTAGGGGGGAAAATTTCACCTTCAATGGCGCTAAGGAGTAACTTAAGCGGAAAAATGGGTGGCGAAAATTCTTGACGCCTAACTTCATTTAATGCACAACAATGAAGTTTTGTTTTTTTTTTACCTGAAATTTCTATTACTTTATCCTTGATGGTATCACAACCTTTATACAGGTTAATATGAAAAGGACGCCGACAAAGATGAGCAGGACGTCGGAGAAGATGAACAGAGTGGGTGAAGATTACGGAATCCAACGCCGACAATTATTTCTCAGATGAAGTTATCAGAATTTTCTATTCGCGAGCATGTTTACTGGACAAACAAATTCGATTTTGGACAATAAAAAATCCACCATGATCGATTTATTTCAAACATTTCTTTAATTTAATTAAATAAATTTCACTGCACTTATCTATCTCGCTTTTCCAATTAAACAATTGATGGTGAACGACTAATTAAATTCCAGTATATGATATCAATTTAGATAAATTATACATTATATTGAAATAATGTCATTCATTTCTCGTATTAAGATTTCTACTAATTTCCAAACTAGATTCTGAACTTGAACGGGTAATTAATTTCCAATCACTGCAACTTTCATGGCTGAAACATGATACATATATATTTAGTAACAAGAACAATTGTTTAAGTAAAATCATATTTTTCCACTGATCATATACAAATTCAAATGTGTTAAATTGTCTAATCAATTACTAATTAAATCAGTAACTAATCCTATACCGATCTTTATCAAGAAAAAAATTAACTATTTATATTAGTATATACTAAGTATACTTAAAATAATTAACTATTTATATTAACAATTATTTGCACAGTATACCCTGAAACCCCGAATACAAATGGCTTGTTAGGTTATTTTATAATTAAAAATAAATAAAAACTAATCAAACAGTTGTTGTTACTACGTAATAAAATAATAATAATAATAATAATAATAATAATAATAATAATAATAATATTATTATTATTATTATTATTATTATTATTATTATTATTATTATTATTATTATTATTATTATTATTATTATTATTATTATTATTATTATTATTATTATTATTATTAGTGAGCTATTGTTACTTAAGGCTTGTACCGGAGTTTCTAAACTCTACTTTGCGTTGCGTACTTGTCCCCCTAGTACTTTTGAGGCGGCTCAACGCACTTTTGACGAGGCTCTTCGATCTTCTTTGGAACGTATTATTACTGCTTCAGGACCTGGATTTGGCGATTGACAGTGGCGGCTTGCCACTTTACCATTTGCGTTTGGAGGTCTTGGTGTTTATTCTGCAGGTGATGTTCGGCATTATGCTTTTATTGCTTCTCGGTTACAGTCTACTGGGTTGCAGACAAAGCTTCTACGACATGCTGACATTATTGGTCATGGTCGAGCTTTTGAAAACGCTTTGGGTTTGTTTAATGGCGCGGTGGAGTTTGATTTTTTTAAGTAATCCTAGTGAGGTCGATGCCCCGAAACTCATGAAGAAATTGGCAAATATATATTTCACGAAGGTGACCGATTTTTCATTATCCACCTTTTCATTATCCCCTCGTCTATCAGCATTGTGGAAATCTCAACAGGGAGATCACACGTCTGCTTGGCTTCGGGCCGTTCCTATTTCAGGATTGGGTCAGACTATGAACACAAAGACTTATCGATGTCTATTATGCTACTGATTGGGTGTTCCGTGCTTGTTCGAGGGTTTTTCCAGGGGATATTTTTGACGATCACGCGGTGTCGTGTGCTGGTATCGTGGGTATTAAACATAGACATAATGTTGTTCGGGATACCCTAGTTGATGTTTGCTATCGTTCTGGGATTTCAGCAGGGAAGAGGTTGATATTGGGTTGTTTGGAGGGAACGACGAGGCCCTCAGAGTTGCTGATGTGTTACTTTATTCTTGAAATCGTGGTCGCGATGTCTGTGTAGATTTGACAGGATCTTCTCCTTTGAAACAGTCAGGGCTATCTAACTTTATTCCTGGACGGGTTGTGGCCGATGCAGCTCATCGGAAGCGGGTTAAGTATGAGGCTCGTTGTCAGGCGATTGGATATGGGTTCATTCCCTTCTCCTTTTCTTCGTTTGGTGAATTAGAGAAGGAGGTTGTTGCGTTGCTTATGCGAATTCAGATGTTCTCGACGACGCAAGACATTGGAGCACGTGCTGCAACTCATATTATTACTAGGGTAGGCTTTGCTATATCTAGAGGAGTGGGGGCTCAGATTGTATCTCGGCTTCCCACTAATTTATTGTAGGTTGTATGACATTTTGTTTTTGAGATATAATAATAATAATAATAATAATAATAATAATAATAATAATAATAATAATAATAATAATAATAATAATAATAATAATAATAATAATAATAATAATAATAATAATAATAATAATAATAATAATAATAATAATAATAATAATATGGGATCGTGGTCGTGATGTGTGTGTCGACTTCACAGGGTCTTCTCCTATTACACAGAGAGGGCTATATGGCTTTGTTCCTGGACGAGTTGTGGATGATGCGGCTCATCGGAAGCGGTTTATGTATGAAACTCGTTGTCTGGCGATTGGATATGGTTTCATTCCCTTCTCCTTTTCTTTGTTTGGGGATTCAGAGAAGGAGTTTGTTACGTTGTTCAAGCGGATTCAAAGTTCTCGACGACACAAGACATTGAGGCTCGTGTTGCAGCTCATATATTCACTCGTGTATGTTTTGCTATAGCTAAATGAGAGGGGGCTCAGATTGTATCTCGGCTTCCCACTAATGTATTGTTGGTTGTATGACTTATTTTTTTTGAGATATAATAATAATAATAATAATGATAATAATAATAATAATGATAATAATAATAATAATAATAATATATATTTTAAAAAATAAACTACCCAATCCCATTTATATATAGTACTAAAGGGATGTTCTCCGCAACATATTTAAAATTTAGTTTAGTTTAATTCGGTTTTTAATATAATTCTATTAAAAAAATAGTTTACTTCAGTATAGTAAATCAGAACAGACCATTACAAAAATTCTATTCGATAAGTGCAAATGTATTTCGTATGGGACTTCCTCGACAGATCCAGAGCTAGATAGTTATATAGTAACAATAACAAATGTTTAAGAAAAATCATATCATTTGATTGACCGTGTAAAAATTTAAATGTCTTAGATACAACCTTCGTATTGTTCATTTCATATTTAATTGCTAATTTATTTAGTAAATTTACCTATGCCGACCTGTATTATGTACAAATTGACCATTTAGTAACCACTTATAAATATACATAACACTAAAAGTTATTATCTCTTAAGTATAATAAAATAAATTGCAATGTATTGGTTGTTTTACGAATGTATAATAAAACTTCACTTATATACATTGATAATATCGTGTCTTTAAATTATATTTATTATATTTTGTTTGATGCCATCGAGGAAAAAGGAGGTGGTCTGGAGAGGCTAAAATTAAAAAGAAAAAAGGAAAATGCTGAATTAAAAAAGGGAGCTGAAGATGAAGTATAAGTTTAATGAAAGACTTAAGAGAACATGTGTGAAGTTGTAATGGGATGGGAACATGTGCCGTTACTAGTTATATTTTTTGAATACTTTCAGATTTAGATAGATTAGATTTATAAATTTGATTTTGACAAACTATTAATACATAACATTTGATTGCAAAGGTTTAGAGAACCCCATTAAGAACATGTGTGAAGTTGTAGTTGATTTTATCAACTTACATATTATTTTGGTAACGAGGTACAAACTTATAGTATCAATAAATACTAATGTGAACAATGTTTTAAGTTTTAATTGGTCTTATAACTATCTTTAATATTTTATAAGTAACAAGAATATAAAATATGAGTCATAAACTATTAACAAAAACGTTATTATTGTATCCTAAACTATCTTATCTTATCACTTCATAGTTAAAACACTATTGATGTTCGAGACAACTCCCATAATAATAGGTTCAAACAAATTTATCTAAACGACAAAAAACTAGATCATTCAGCGCATACCTTAATGAAAACCTACATTGCTTCATAATTCAGATAAAATTTGTTACGTACATGATTACTTTGAAGTTAGTTTAAAATTTCATTACGAATGAACAATTTCAAATGTGTTAAATTTTCTGTAGATAGAAAGACCATATACGTACATCTCTCATTATATGATTGGTCCAAAAGTATTTATTGATTATATGTATAATTCAAAACACT